GTGGGGTGGGGGGGGGGGGGGAAGAACTAGAGAACTGCCCCCCCCCCCAATGAAAAATTTCTGTATCCACCACTGTGCATGTGACCCTACCCATGGGCTTCCCATTCAGTGACACTGACAGGCATATTGGGGGCTTCTTCGGGGAGAGGGGGGGAGAGGGTTCAGGGTAAACTCTCCGAAAATAAACTGATTGGGTGACAATTGTGACACCGTTTTTTTTTTTTCCCAACAAGCCGAGAAAAGAAAAACCTCTGGCAACCTGATTTGGAGAGGGGGTGAAACGGTGTTGCATTTGATGCAGACATGCGTCAAATGGGGAGGGGGAGGAAAGGAAGGGGTTGCTCACTGGGGACTTGAGAGGATCTGACATTTGAGCCAAAGGAGGTAATGTGCGATTTCGAGATGGTGCTCTCCAAATTGTGTTCCCTGGAATTGTGGTGCACGGGTGCAAGTTCAAGCTTTGTTTTGAAAGATTCAGAGTCTGATGCTGTCAAAAGCATATGAAAATCCAAGGTCTTTGCTGAAAGATCATTTCCGCAGAGTTGTCACCTTGTGTCACATGCCAATTGGTCTAATGGATGATGCGTGGCCTTATGTGGCTGCAAAGTCATGCAAAGAAGAGCGCCCTCACATGACACTGTTCAATTATTATTTCATTGACACCTGGTTTTCAGGGAATGCACGATTTCCAAGAGAGTTGTAGTGGGAATGTCAGCAAACCAACAATGGTGTAGAACAGGGGTGTCAAACATACGGCCCGCGGGCCGGATCCGGCCCGCGGAGGTGGTTCATCCGGCCCGCCGTCTGCTTTTGAAATTTTCCTCATGGATTGAGTGTCAGCACAAATTTCAGTGAAATGCTATGGGTGCGGCCCGCAGGCATCTGCAGGGTAAGGAATGCGGCCCACCGACCGATTTGAGTTTGACACCCCTGTGCTAAGCGAAGGTCCTTCGGAGATTAAAAAAATCATTCGAGGAGCGCTAGGTACAGTACTCTCAAGGGTTTCCTCCCACCCCCGTGAAATACGCTACTGAGATTACTGTATATAGTTGAATTCTTCTCGTGAAGCTCGAAATCGACCCAAGCAATTAGAGCTGGCCATCCTTGGAAAGTCACAAGGTCACTCATTCCTGAGATACGGGGAATTCCCAGTGTGCTCGACTGGAAATCCCCAGTCGGGGGACGCACGCACGCATGCATAATAGACGGTAGTTAAGGCATGAGGAAGGGATCAAGGTCACCTTTAATACACATATATTCCAAGACGCTCAATCCAATGCAGTATGAACGATGGTCAGGCCGATTGGCGCGTGTTGGGCGCGATAAAAGAAAAGAAAATTCGAGTTAGTTCAGTTTCCATACGAGTATAAGAATATAAGGACCTCTTTTTCGAGCGAAAAATTATTATTGTTTTAAATACTGTATTAGCTAGACAAAACTTCATGATAGCATGGTATATTTCGACGAGAAATGATAAATACATGGTGTCCATAAATTAAATGACCCATTTTAAAAATTAATAACTTAAAAAATATTATAGACAGAACACTCCGATTTTGTTTAACTTGACAAACAACTGAAAAAGTTTTTTATTGTCTTAGTAGACTTTCACATGCAGTGGCGTGCCCAGGAAATCCGAAAGGGTTAACATATGAAAAAACTGATAACCCACCCTGTATTTGTGGCCAAATTAAAAAATTTGTGAGAATCAAACCTGTTGCGCCACTGTTCACATGTGCACCGTTTGTTGCTCGAAGAATGTCTAGCCGATACTCTATCTCCTGCTAGGTGTTGTTCAGCATCTCGGGAGTCACACTCCTTATTGCTTTGATTAGTCTTTGGCAAATATCCACGAGATCACGCACAGGTGTCGAATACACCTCATCTTTCACAAAACCCCACAAGAAAAATCCTACGGGATTATGTCAGGGGAAAGTGGGGGACATCGTGCTGCCAAACTACGCAATGCGCCTTTTCCTGGGGTGTTTCCATTTCTTTCTTTTCACTTTTTCTCTTTTACAGCAATGCTCGTCAAGTTAAACAAAGCCGGAGTGTTCTATCTATAATATTTCTTAAGCTATTAATTTTTAAAATGGGTCAGATAATTCATGGACACCCTGTACAGCATTAATTTTTAAATAATACAGATTCCGTGACATAACACTGTCGCCAAAATTAGACGGTAGACTTGGCCAGTACGGTGCGGTGCAGTGCAGCGTAGTACAGTGAAGAGTCCATCTCGCCGTGGAGATGGTTGCGTTCTCGATTATGACGCGGTTGGTTTCCCCTGAGGGTTTGCAGGCAAGAGGGTCTCTCTCTACTCAAGATGTGAGAGGGTGAGCAAAAACTTTTTCTCGAAACATGTGAAAATCCGGAACCACATACGCATCTTCGATCGTGCCTTAGGAAAGTTCCGTATCATCAGGATTAAGATCGTCATCATTAAAGCACTTTCGATCTCGAATGCCTTCCTGATCGAGTAAGAGAAAACTTTTTCGAACGGGACTGGGTTCTCAACCTGGGTCCACCCCAGTTAGGAAAGTTTTTGAAATTGTTTGAGGAATGGCTACGATGCGACGGTATCCCCCTACGGTGTGATGGTGTTCCCCCTGAGGAGTGATTGGATTCCTCTGTGGTGGCCCTTGCGAAAGGAACTATACACATATCGTGAATGACATTACGACTCGCTAAAACCAGCCCACGTAGAGCTCTTCTGAAAACATGCTGCTGTCTGTTCGATTGGAATCAACCGGGTTAGGTTAGGAATCCCAGGACCAGGCTAGGAATCCTGCTCACCGATCGAAAATGGCGATGTATTGTCCTGAACTCCTCCTAATTGTTATATTCAACCCGTGAACATAAAATAACCCTTCCAAAGCCGAATTCTGGAAGTAGTTATTTTTAGGGAACTGCTTTTTCCGATATGAAGGAGGAAAAAAATGAGCAAGAAAGTCATAGCATGAATGACATCACACCATAGCTCTGAAGTTGCCCTCAGGATCTTTCTGTGGCACACTCTGTTGAACGCTTTTCAACCCCCCCCCCCCCCCCCCCCCCCCCCCCCACCTTTTGA